TGGGGCTGGCACCGACAGTGCTCGCTTGGCCCACTGGAGTCCCTGACAAAACAAGGACTGTGGAAGGCAAGGAACACCCTCATCCAGCAGAACCCAGAGCGAGGAGCGAGGGAGCTGGACTCAAGAGGAAATCCCTGTTCCCTGAGCTCCCGCGGAGGACCGGACAGCTGCAGTTTCAGAGCCGGGACAGAGACATGGACGAAGGCAAGGGGTGGGGCTTGGAGGGGCTCTCTTATCGTGCAAATCCAGACCCAGAAACAGCTTCCACAGCAAAGGGAATGAAAAAGGACAATCACCTTTCTAAGATCTTTTTTTTTTTTAGTAGAGATTTTGTCAGGGTATACTCTCACTGGAAGATGGTGCAATAAAGTTTATTTTGGGGGGAAAAAAAACAGCCCAGCGATCCCACCTCTGAGCTGGTACTGCTGTTCCAGTTCAACACGGGACACCCGCAGAGAAAACCTCTCCTCGCTGCACCCTGTGCGCACATCACAGAGAATATCTGGGTCTCAACAGCACACCCCCTCCACGCAAATCAGCAAATGCTTAAATTTCCTCCCCCTTTTCTTGTTACTTCCGCCTGCAGCTTGGTGGAATATTCCCAGGAATGAAACAGCAAATGCGTTCCATTTTAATCTGCTTAGCCGGATCTCCCCCCCCCCCACCATCCACGCCACCTGTTCGCCTGAAAGACACAGGAGCGCCACCCCATGGTCTCTCAACGCAGGACGGAACAGTAAAGTGGTCGTTCAAACGGAAGAGGTCCTGTCCACATCTGCTGAGAGCGGAGGAGAGTGACTCTCTGACAGGCAGGCACCTCTTTCTGCCTCGGGTTCGGCCCCACGAGCCGAGCCCCAGGGGATGGCAGTGTGCAAGCTTTAGCCTGGGGTTGCTGTTTTTTCTTGTTTGGATCTGCAGCTCCAGACATCAAGTGGTAAACAACACCGGCATCTCTCTATATAACAACCACATGACATTTTTCTAATGTCTAATGTTCTTTTCTAAAGAACGCTCGGGGGAGCGTTCTTTGCTCCAGAGGCTGTTCTGCGCAAAGGTCTGCCATTGAGCTTCCCTATCAAACTCCATCACAAAATAAAACGGCGTTCTTTGCTACTAGCCGGAGAGGAAAATGGAAGAATAAAGCTTACATAAAACCCCTAGAAACGTGTCGGCTAACTGTGTAAAAAGGAGGAATAGTGGCAGTTTTTAGGTCAGATATTAGGACTT